TGTTTTTTTGCTATGTCTTAACCCGGAGGGGTCGTCACGCAACACATGTTCAAATTTTATGTGAATAAACAATCTGTTGTATACGCCACTTGGGACTCAAGTTTCAAGGACATGCTCGCGACAACCCCTCCACTTTAATATGACGAGCACAAAGAGAACTTTCAAAAATTTAACGGGGACTGTGTAATTTTCAATGACTTTGTTGTGATTAGACATGAATGAAAAGTGCCAAGCTGCGAAATCCGTGGATTAAAAGTGCTAAGTCCAAATTGTGTGGGACGATATCGACGAACTTCAGGAAGAAGTTGTAGGGATTTTGTTCGACGGCTACAGTGACGCCAACTTGGACTTTAAGGGTTTTGAGTTTGACGAAGATGGTAATGAACGTACAAATAAAGATCTGAGAAGTTTTTTCAAACAGCTATGAATTTTTATAATTTTTACTGTGTCTTGTATGACAGTTGATTTGTAATTTGTCGAGACCGAAAATCATTTTACGCAGTTTAACCCCTGACATTTTAATTCATTTTGAGTTCATGTGTATTTGGGCGTGTTTGTCGGCGGGAAAATCCTAATTCAAATGATTCCTCACTGTCGATTTTTATTATTTCTGGTTTATTTGTCACATTATAAGCAATACATTAGTTTTGTTTTACTTCTAATGTTGCATATTGTTCATTTATTTCTGTTGCATGTTTTCATTTGCCGTTCTATTCCCTCCTGCAGTTCGATCTGCGTGTTGTCAATTTTCGTGAATTTTCGTTTCTTTGGCCGGGGATATCCTGGCAATCGCCCACCCCTATTTTTTGGCAATTTTCCATGTTTAGGACCCTGGGCTTATACCCGGATAAATACGGTAATAATTTATTGGGCTTCAGAAAAAAAATGTGTCAACTTTAGTTATAGCCCAGTTTTCTCCTCAGGCCTTTCAAGCACTGCGGGACTGCGTCGCTTAGACAAATAGCCGCATCGCTTTCGTTTCACACATGATTCTTGAAATCCTGTCCGCGATGCTTAAGTTGTTGTATTGTTTACAAGTGTCAGCCTCGTCTTGCACATCTTTAAAACAATAACATGTATTGATCGAAAGGTAATCCTGCCTTTGTTAGCCTTACAAAAACAGTGATAAAAAGGAAGTCTACAAGAAGTCTTTTGAGGGAGCGGGCCTGCAAAGTAATAATTTGCCCATTGCGTTGGGAAGATCTATCCGGATTTGCTGAGCTGTGGTTAATTGCGGTTTTTACTACTCCATTGCTAATTACCAAGAATTAAAAAAAATGAGTGAAATTAAGTCGTATTGGGGGAAAAAAAACATAAATAAATTGAAGCTAAAATTATTCAACTGCAGACGAGATGGCCGAAGAAAAAACGAACCCTGGCCTCTAGAAATACAAGAAACTCCACTGAAGCGACGTAACGCATGTTGTGACATCGTGACCGATGCATGCTGGGTTACAAGGGAGATTCCGATCGAAGTAACAAAGATGGCGGCTTAGAGTGCATGTTTTTCCGCGATGTTTAAAAACAACATCTCGTTGGCGATTTTGATGTAATTTCTACGATAATCGTCAATGAATCGTTTTAATTAACGAAACTCTAAATTTGTGTATTAAAAGTCGGGGACTGATGATCGCAACAGCAGCGGTGAGTACCCGTGGTGATGTGGTGATTGTAGCGTTACGCATAAGGTATAAATAGATCAATGAAAAATCGCTGACTTGAGTTTTGAAATGCCGTTGTAGAAAAAAATGTCATTATTTATTTATTAATTTCTAAGTCATATTTTGATAACCCGCAATCTGGCAGACTACAAATGTTTTTCCCCCACGTCATATGAACTGACAGTGACATGGGCACTAAAACTGACTGTACTTGTTGTACACAAAATAATAATGAACCAGTTACCTCTATGGATAACAATATATTCATAACAATACATTTTTTGCTGTTCTATTTCAAACCTCATTTGACTTGATGCACACATAAAATACAATGAAGTGAAGTAAAAATGATATAAAATATATGAGCTATAAAAATATCTCCTCTTTATTGTAGTTACTGTATTACGTTTGCTGGAGAAACTAATTATTATGCAAATAAATTACGCAAATTAGATGTGTTATGCAAATTAGCCGCGATGCTTGGCATGGAGTCTGGGGAGAAATATTTGGTGACCAGTCGAATTCGAACAATTCGAAAATCAGGATTTACACGGAAGTCCTTCGGTACTGAAAATCATCGACCCTACTCTGGTTTACCTTATTTCACAACTTGCAAAGAAAACTGATTCGCCGTGACTCTAATGTATCTCAGCCTAGTTTT